AAGATGTTTTAATGTGTAGTATCCCTTGGAGTCATAGGATTTAACATGGGTATTTACTATTGTTTTTACTAACTATCTCTACTAGTATTTAGTACTGGTTTTTACTAACTACCTACTATTGTATCTATCTATTTAAAACATAAGTTGCTGCTTAACGTTGTTGAAAGTCTCCTGAACTGCTAGTAACATTTACATAAGCCATTTATGAAACATGCATCATAGCACTCATTATAGTTTGTATTTTAATTCATGAAATATACTGCAAGTTTTGCTCTGCATTTCTGCAATCTAACAAGCTCTATTTAGCTTTGCAGAGTATTTGCAATCACGGTGAATCTCTGTTTCAGACTCTCTCTTTTCTCCTTTAAGTGGTTTTCTATGGTCCTCGCTTCCTTTAGGATTCCATCAAGTTCTTGGACATAAGAAGCATCCATCGCTGCTCTCTCACTTAATTGAAAAAATCAGTAGTTAAAATCAATACAAACACCATTAACTTTCTCACTACTTAGAACTGCTTTTATGCTTTTCTTAAAAACGTGTTGTCCATCAATGCTCAGTTTCTGACCAAATTAGTTCTCTGTTGTAACAGAAAACAGCATTTTTCTTTCAAGATCTGTGTTCAATATTTTCCAGTGCTGTCTAAACTGCAGCCACAGTGATCCTTATCTAGAGAAATTAGAAAGGTGCTGTACAAATTGGACAATGTTAACTTGCCTTAAAGTGTGAGCATATTTTGATAACAAGTTCATAATTTCTTTGTTGATCTCTGTTAAAAGAGAGAAGTAATTTTATTTAAACATTTGAACGAACTTTCATCTCAACATCAAATTAGGTAATGACATAGTTACTTTCAGTATGTTTAATACATCACCATCTAAAACTTCTTCCAGTGGTTCAAGTTTGTAAGGGGACTGTGAGCCCTCGGAAAAAGCTGGATCTGTTTTGTCAAGGGAGGACAACTGAGCATTTTCTGAAGCTTCCTTCTAATAACAGAGCACATAAAAAAAAAAAAAAAAAAATGCAGCATGCCAGGCTGTTTCCTGCTACAGCTGGTCAGGGCAAGGTAACCCCCAGTGCCCTGGGACACAGTTCCAATGGCACAGAGAAGGAAAGTCACACATGACAATTGTGTCTTCCAGAACATAGCAGAGGTACACTCAGGTCAGAAGTGACTTTCTAGTGCAATATTGCGACCCGTTAAACATCATCAGGTCGCTACTGAAATAACAATTTTAACTTAAGATGGAGATTAATCCACCTTCCTCACCTTGAGTCACCTCCCCACCATCCTCAGGTAGGGCACCAGTAGTTCCACCTAGTCTCAGAGATACCCATCTCCTAATACCTCACTGCCAGGGACAGAGATGATTCTGTCATCAGTATTTGTAAAGTGCTTTGCAGATATAAAGCTCTGCCTAAGTGCTAAGTGTTATTACTACCCATCTTCTGCCAAGGATTAAAGGCAGAAACAAACTCCTTTTCCCCACCCCATCAGTATGTGTCAGCAGTCTGTATCAGGAAGTTGAGCCAGCCTGCTAGCCTCAGCCTCCCTGCCCCACAGTTCCCCTTCTTCCCTCAAAATCACCCAGTTTATTGTGCGTATTCCTGGACACTACCTTTTCAATGTTTCTTGGGTGTGTGCAGCTGTTCAGCCTTACCCTGTGGTCTGCAATAGTGGATGATCTGATGGCACTTACAGCTGTTCTATCTGAGCTCCTGACCCATACCACCTCTCAGCAAGGGGAACAACACTGCTCTTTTCTGAAGGACCTACAAAGAAAAAAGTAACTTTTTGTTGCTCAAAAGAAAGCATTTTTCTTTTACAAATTACTTTGAATTCAGAGGGGCTTCTTCCGTCCAACTCAAGACAGTATAGAAAAGGTTATACCTTTGGAACCTAAACCCAGGGACAGTATTTTCCTGCCCATTTAACAAAGCCCCTGCACTTAGGAAGGCCCTGTAGTTTGTAAGGGGCAGGGGATACAGTGCCCCACACTGAATTACCAAGTGGGAGATGGGCACTTGGACACAAAGTTCGGCTCGCTTCCATGCACCTGCAGTCAATTTATCTCAGTGCACAGTGGCTATAAAGTGCTCTTGTTCTGACTCGATGGTGTTTGATAGCACTCATGGCTCCGTTTGTGCTGCACCCAGGCCAGCACAGCCCCGAGCCATGCCTGGGGCTTCCAGAAACGACTCCAGGAGCACAACTAGAGGGATAAGAGGAGCTGAGGGATTTGTCATGAGCGAAGCTCCTGGGAAGCACAGCATGCTCCCACGATGGAAATATCGCAGCTAAGGAGGGGAAAGGAGGGCAATAACATCGCCAGGAAGTTAAAATAGGAATTTCTTTTCCAGTGAGACTGATTGGCAACTGCTGAGCTTTGATATGAAGGTGTTTTCTCAATTAAAGGCCTTCTACAGGTCACAGTATGTTTGACTTTCGAGATAGGTAGTTTCTCTCCTGCTCCCATCATTGGAAAGTGCCTGTCTAGATAGGCCTGGCAGGCTCCTCTGGGCACTGAGGCTCCGCACAGCAGTGCTCAGGTAGTTTTAGTAGCAACTTGCTCAAGCTTTACAATGTGGTGTTGTGCAACTGGGAGGCGAATGAGGAGGATGGGCAAGGGACACACGGAGCTTCCTCCAGACCCCGATGCGCTTTAAAAGCAGGGGACTTGCAGTCCTACCTGCCCATCCTCTCTCCCCTCAGTCCCCGGAGGGAACAGCACAGGAAGAATGAACATGATTTTTGCTTAGGGAAAGCCTCCCTGTTTGCTCAATAAATACCTTCCAAAAAGCTTAGCAGCTCTGTAAACATACAAGAGATTTCAATACTTAGTAAAAAGTTCATCTTTTCCCTGAACTCCCAATGACAAAGGCTGGCACTGGTCTGCGATTACCGCATATGGGTGGTGTGAGGACCTAGCAGAGCCCAGGAGACTCCCAGGCTCTGCAAGGGCCTGGCAAATAACACTGGATGTTGAGAAGCCTGTTAAATTTAAGTTGATCCATCCATGCAGCTCTGAGATGAGAATCCTGTCAGTCTTGCAGGAACGTCGCCAGCTCAGAGTGGTCCAGGGAACTGAGAAGCGATGACGGTGACATCCAAGAGAACTCTTTCTGGCAAAGGAGGGACATGGCTGAGGGCTTTCGCTCTTCAGAGCAGTGTCCTTCCCCCTTGGAAAGCAGCCTGGTGGTCACTGAACGCAGAAATACTCAGGGGAGAGAAAACACAGTGCCAGCCCCGTTCTTGCTGTGCCCGGCCAGGGAAGGGGAGACTGCATTTGGGGAGAACACAGCCCCAATGGCTTTAAAAGAGGAGAGAGTGTCCTACAAAAGCATTCCCCATGGAAGTGTGACGAATTGGATCTTGGGCCAGATCCGACATGGTAGTGCAATAGGGCCCAAAGTCTCAATCCGCTCATTTCCAACCCCACTGACAGTACTGAGGGGGTGGGGTCTGGCCTGGCCCCCTCGCTTCTGTCTATCCGATCCTCAAGCTTCAGAGAATCCAGCACTTCACCCCAGAGGATTCCCTGAAGCAGGGTGTCTCACTCCCCAACTCAGCAGGTGCCCCGGGGGTAAGGAATTTGCCTCTGAAATGAAATGAGATAGGCTGAGGTAGGGAACTTGCATCTACCTTTAGCAACTCAGACCCCTCTCAGCGTAACAGGCCTCGTGAGGCAACGCCGATGCTCTCAGCTGCAAGTGTGGGACTCAAGCACAATCCATCCTCCAGACACCAGCGTGCCACCACTGCGTCACCCCAGAACAAACGTTTCCAGCTGTCTCCTCTGATCCCAACTGCCCGATGACCACCTCTCCTCCAAGTATTATCCCAGCACCCAGCCTACGGGATCAGCTCGCAGAGCTGCACCCCTTTACCCTGCACTAGAGGGCTGAAATCATGAGGTCGTCCTGCTTGGCAGGGCTGGTTACGGGCCCAGAGGGGGTGGAAGTCCGGATTTTGTCAGTGGCCAGGCACTCCTGGCTGCTTACACCTGTGGGAGTGATGTCCATGAGTTCTCCAGATGAACTAAGGGGGAAAGAGGGTGAGACAGAGATGCCCGACGAAGGATCTGTTGAGCCTGCAAACAACCTCGGGGGCTTTGGGACTAGGTTGGGTTCATATTGTGCCCTCAACAGGATCTCCTGATCACTGACAGACTTGGGCATCTCTGCAAAGTCACTGGAGCTGTCTGACACCATCATGCAGTAGATGTCCTGGAAGGAGCTGCTTTTGCTATCCAAATTAAAGAGGCTGTCTATGAACTCAGCAAACTCCAGCACTTGGGGACTGGGAACATCTGAGAGCCGTCCATTCTGGAGGGACAGCTCCTCACGAGGGGCTAAGGAAACACGGTCCCCCTCGCTGCTGGCCCCCTCCTCACTGCAGCGGCGCTGGGGGGTAGTGCCCCCACTGTTGAGCACATTGTCAGGGGGTTGAGTCTCCTGGGAGTGCTTGGAGAGGCTGTCAGCAGCCAGCAGCTCTGTCCGCGAGCTGAGGGAGGGGTTTTCCTCAGGGATAGCAGGGTCTATATAAAAGCAGTGCGTCTCATCCTTCTCCATGACAGCATGGAGGCTGGGGGAGCCCCGGATGCTCCGAAAACCAGAGGAGCGCCTGGAATCAAAACTGTAGATGGATTCATTGTCCGAGAGGCTCTCCATGGTCGCAAGAGGGGCACGACGGTCCTGCAGCTCCACAGACAGACGTTCCTTTGTATCCAGGAGAAGCAGCTCCACAGGGTCTTTCTGCACAGGAGAAAGTGGCTTTGTCTCATAAAACCCCTCCAAGCTGATTTCAGAATGGGACTTGCTCCTGCAATGAGAAACAGGGAATGTGAGGCTGCACCACTCTACACCACCGCAGGCCAGAGGAACCGAGTCCTGGGCACAGAGTTCCTCCTACACCCTGAGGGCACGCTGCTCTAACCATGACTGTGAGAAACCTCCTATCTCTCCATCCTCCCAGCTGAAAACATTAGATAGCTTCTTCCCTTTGCAAACTCGGGTTCTTGCCCTTCTCCCTTTTCTCCTGGCTAAACGTCTTCCCTCTCAAGCACCCTTTTCACTTAGGACCATGGTTCTGCTTCCAGTGAAACTTGCCTCTAACTGAAGTATCCAAAACCACAGTGCAGTTTCCAGACATGCAGACAAACCCTCTCTCACCAGACACCTCTGCATTAAGAGAGGATTGACACAAGAGAGGTTGAAGGACTAGCCTACAGTTAACCTACTACTATCTCTTTTTTCCCCCCCCCCACACTCTGGAACCACTCCAGTTTCATGCCTTCCCCTCCTTGTGCATGCTGGCAATTCCCCTGACAAAAATGCCAGGATGCTTTTAGAGGATTGCCCATGACCAGTTCAGGTAACAGACTTTAAAATAGGTGAAAAGCAATTTATTCAGTTTAAGACAAGTAAAGATCTTTAGAAAGACACTAAGACTTTAGAGGCTCAGGCAGGTTCCTCTAGAAAGAAGGTGTCAGACACAGGGAAGGAGCTCCCCACACCAGACACAAAACCTGGGATTAGCTGCAGCCAAAGCCACAGCCCTAAAGACAAGAACTTAAGGAGATATCTGGGAAAAGAGCCTGGTATAGGGAAAGGCTTAGAAGTTTAGCCAATATTTGATTCTTTTGTAACTTCAGTAGAGTAATAGTGATCTGAGAACAGGATTCAAGACCCCCAAAAGAGGGAGTCTGACACAGTAAGTTGGCCCTAACCTTAATTTAAACACAACCATCCTACAACTGTTTCCACTCTAGCACATCCCTTAAGCCTCTGTGCCCTCTCTTTCATTTCCTTCCCTTTCATACCTCAGAACTCCCCCTCTGCTCAGAGGGAAGCAGCTCCTTGGGTCTGTGCTGGCTGTGGCACAGAAACCACCACTTGACCTAGTTCATCTTCTCAGTCTCACTGTAGCCTCCACAAACATGGGCCCATCCCTGTTCCTGCTGTTTCATCACAGCTGCAGTTCTGTTTCTAAGCTCTCCTGCACTGTCCCTGACCATTCACACTCTCTGTGACAAGAACCTTATCATTTTCATATTATTTTCTGTCTTCTTTCTTCTAAATTTAAATCTCACTAATGTTATCTCAAAGATATTCAGCTGCCCATCTCTCCGCACAGACCATCTCACCCTGCCTCTTTCCACACACACAGCTTCTTGGTGGATCTCTCTACCTGAAATCTCCACAGAAGCACATCCCTTCCAAATAAATAATCCCCTCCCAGCCACAATGCTGTCTTCTGTTTCCACTCACAACTCCCATTTGCTGTCTCTGACTACAAGCCATCTTCCTTCTCTCATCTTCCCTGCTTTGTCTGCAAATTCGCCCTACAAAACGCAATTGTGATGGAAGTCATGTGTTCCAACTTTGACATAAGTCTTTGCCCACATTTTTATATTTACTTTCTCTGCTTCTCTCAAGTCTTTCAAGTCTGTGGTCCTGCAGTGACTCACTCAAATATTATCTGAAAGTCTGCAAGGAGTCTCTCTGCCATTTGCTCCTGCAGGAAAGCTGTTTACACCACAAAGAACTAGCCCTTCTCCAAACTGCTCCTTTGTACACCTTCTTGATGTTCCTCTACTTTTTGGCCTTTGCCAGACTACTGATATCAGTGCTCAGTGATGTTCTAGTGTTCAGAAAACCATCCCTTTCAGCACTCAGAACATGCCTTTTCCCCTTGCCTGCTTTCCATTGGACTGAGCTTCCTGCTCTTGTCCCTCAAACAGGACACCAGCTGCTCTCCCCTCACCCACATCCACGTTACCAGATTGTCCTGTTTATGATGTGACTTGTGTCATTTTATAAAGCAGCTTTAAATGTAAGTAAGCTTATGGCTTTCACTGCTTCTCAGCTTTTGAGGATCACCATATAGGCTATCTTTGGGCACCTGAATCACACAAGAAAACAGAAATTTGGCTGCAAGACAGCAAGCTTTGCCTTTACTGTTTACAGGAAAACCTCATTTTTCTGGATAAGGAGAAAAGGAAGTTTTCTTCCATACTCTCAAATTCTAGGTTCTCCTTACCTTGCTGCACTCAGACTCTCAGGCAGCATGAAGGATTCTTTTCCCCCCCAATATGACACAAGACTTAGCAAAGATAAGTAAAAGTCCCATAAAGGCAGCCCTTGGATTTATCCTTTCCACAACCATGAATCACAACGCCCCAAGAGAAGGACCCACACCTTGATCCAACAATCCTCCAAAGAAACCAAATATTCTTACTTCGTACTGCTGTTCCTTCTGTCCACTGTTGCAGCTCCCGTTCCGATCTGCACTGAGGGTCCACTAGGCAAGGGCTGACTCTGGAAGATTAACTCTGGGGTGAGATCCACTTCTGTAGGACTCACCATCACTTTGGCTGCAGAAAGTAAAGCTGTTTTCCCCTTGTTGTAATTCTCCAAGACCTATTCAAAGCAAGCAGAGAAAGAGTAGTACTTTAGAAGCAATAGCAGCTTTGCTGTTCTCAGCTCAGACTTTCAAACAGCTGGATTTGCCTCTTTTTCTTACCAACACCTTCTGCAAGCACAGGGCAAGGTCTTCAGATAAAGGATTATATATCAATGAATTCTGATGTACTCCATCCTGTCAGAATACCCTGCTGGGAATCCAGTGCTGGGGAGGTGACTGGAGGGGAGGTGGTAGAAGCAGCCTTCAGACCAGGAGGGGAGAGGAGACTTGGCTAAATCTCTGTGCTAGGAGATGGGTAGAAACTAGAACTTAGCAGCAGAGACCTGTTCTACAGCCATTATAAATAAGCTCACCCCTCAGACTAACAGCAGGACTGCAGCCACAGCATGGAGGACTTGTGTCACAGCTCAGGTTTTACCTGAGCTGCAGTTTGTAATGGGCAGCTTATGCAAAAAGGAACCAAACACCCAACCTTGCATTATTATGACATTAAATTTGGAAAGACAACCTAGTCTGGGACTCTGTACTGGGATGGAGATCTACATTCCATTTCTAGACCTCATTACATTCCACTCTAACAGTCTGTGTACAACTGGCCCCCAGCACAATCATCTTCCCTCCTTCCCTCTGTTTAATACTGTTATTAAAATACTGTTTGAAGTATTTAAACACCTATCTCTGCATCTGTGTATCTAAAGGCCCTGGACAAGGCACTTGTTTTATTAGGGCACCCAAGCGCTCTTGAAACAAAGCTACTAAACGCAGACCCCACCAAAAGTACCTCCCTGGCTCTCCAACAGGCACAGAGCTTTGACTTGGCACCAAGCAACCTGATCAGCTCATACACAACCCCCTCAATCCATTTTGTGTTTACAGCTCACCTCAGCAGTGCCACAATGCCAAGCCTTTCCTGCCCAAAGCTGGCTGTCTTCCCAGCCCATGTTACTGCACTTAATGATCCCTCCCCACCCCCAGTCCTAATTCCCTGCGTTACCTTGTTGAGCCCTTCCATGACCACGTATGGGAGGTGTTCGTGTAACATCGCCGGCGAGATGATCACTTCATTAAATGCCTTATTGTCACCCCAGATCGCAAAATAAGTGGGATCTTCTTGATCACAGCAACTGGAAGAGGAGTTGGGATCCAAACAGAGGGGAAAACAGGGAGTCAGGGATGAAAGAGCCGGCCAATATTTTGGCATGCAAAAGAAAACAGCAGGTTGCAGAGACAGCAAAAGCAACAGTAGGAAAAACAGAGGGAGAAGATATTAAAGTACACACGCCACTGCCATTGCTCCAAAAGTCTGTGTTAGCCAGTGACAACTATATTTTTATTCTGACTGCATAGGCACAGTCACTGTGAGACAACAGGAAAAAAAAAAAGTCACCTCCTTCAGAGATGAGTTCTTGTCTTGAGGAGTTTCTTCCTAAAGAAAGTTTTCCCCCTGCCCACAGGCTGGCTTGGCAGCTCGGCGCACACTCACCAGCACTGCTCCGCAGGGTGATTGTGCACCACGTGGATGATGCGGCCGGGTGGGTAGAGCGGGGTGCTTGCCGACAGAGCAATTGTCAGATCACTGGGGTGGGTCCAGAGCCGGTTACTCGTTACAGAATTTTCTTCTGTCTCTTCAGGGAGCTCTGACTTCGGTATGCACTTTGTAGCACCCACGATGATTCGCCACTGTCCAACACAAGAGAAATGAGAAAAAAACAGCAAAGAAAAGCAGAGTCATCTCACAAGGTAGGTTTAAACGGAATGCCTAACCCCAGAAAAGACAAAAACAGGTCCTGTGCCCTGACTGCTTAAATAAACCTAGAGATAGAGATAATCCTGCCCAGAAAAGCTGCTTCTTCCTTTCCCAGTTTTAACCTTACTAGTAGCAACATCTCATCCTTCCTTTTTTTACTGGTGGTTTTTGTAGAGCTAAGGATCTAGAGCAAGCACCAACAGGTAACTTATTATATTCCAGGATAAACAAGGTAGATGGAATCAGAATAAGCAGAAGACTATACAACATAAACATAATTCTGTTTAAGCCTTTCTTTATGCACTAAAAGAAATCCTAAAAAAACATATTCACCAAAAACTCCATAAGCCAAAACATAAAAACCATAGAATTCCATCAAGAAAAATAAATGTAAGCTCAGTTTTCTCCTTCTACATAGTATATCACCCCTAAAAACTTAATGTCTTATGTCTTTTCCATCTCTGCAATGGTAAAGAAGCCTGGGAAAGAAGAACTTTCCACACTACCTACCTCCAAAACATTAACAGACCACTTATCCTAGAACAGCACCACCCCGACAGTACACAGCAGTGACTGTACACAGACGACTGTTGTACTTCCTAGCCTGTTGGCACTGTTACTGGCCAAAAAAAAAAAATAATCTACAGTCAGAACACAGACTTTAAAACAGGCTCAGATGAGAAAATCTCCTGCTTAGTTATTTTAGTCCTGTGATGTTGAACCTACAGCACAGGAGACAATCATCCCACAGCCTGCAAACAGAGGGCAGCCCTTTGCCCTGACCTCTCTGGCCACCTTCCAGCCCTTGCCATTGCTCCTCTGGTTACCCAAACCATCATCACAGCAGCCCTGAGGGGACCTGGAGGGCAGGAAAAGTCTGCAGGATTGCCATGTGACACTAAAAGTTTACCATCACCGCTCAGAGACTCACCTTGAGGTGTTTTAATCTTTACTCTTACCTTCGGTTTGTTACTTCTCTGAAGAACATCCAGAAGCTGCCGGCGAAATCCCTCCAGCTGAGAGAGACCAATTCTGGAAAAGAGGAAGATGGGTTTACAGCAGCTGGACAGGGACAGAAGGACAAGAAATTGTGCTACGAAAGATAAATGCAACAATGCCATAATGCAGATCATTTCAGAGGTGGGTTGTGCCATCACCCGGGACCACTAAACCAGGGTTAAGAGGCCATGAAAAAACATCATGACAATCAACAAGCATGAAACATAACAGCAGAATCAGATCAGTGAAAACATATGAGAGAGGTCAACGAACAGATAATGAGGGAGATGATGCAATCACAGAAACAAGTGAGCAAGGAACAGGATGACACAGAACAGATAAATGAGAAAGATGTCACAGCTATAGGACGCCATCAAACAGATTATAGGATGGACAAGATTTTGCCACACAGGTTACCAAAAGGCGTATTCAATACCATGTAGGACTTTTCCTCCACTGAATTCTACATGCATTATATTGCACAGACAGAAACGTCACCATTTATCTGAGCTCACACAACAGGGTAGAAGCAAAAGTAAAACCCAAGTTGTCTGGCTCCTAGTCCGACGCCCTGTTCAACAGTTCAACATGGCCCAGGAGATGATGAGGGGTGAGAAATACCAAGACACAAGAAATGAGGGAGCTGGTTTGGAGATGCAAGATGATATGGAACAGGTATTCAGGGACAAACAGTACAAAACGAGATGAGAGCATATCTAGTTGAGGGCAGAGTGTCAAGAAGTCCGAGAGAACACAGGCAACCAGGAAGATGGCATTGACATGTCAGATACTGCAACGAGCATAATCACAGAGGCAGGATTATTCACTCTCCTCTTTCATACAGGCAGCTGTGAGATGAGGAGGGATATGCCTAGAAAAAAAGGTGTTTGAAACACCAATTTAGGTGTCCAGGTAAAAGATGCAGCAATACAGGTAACCAGAACAACAAGAAAGAAGCATACAAGAACAGGTAAATGAGGAAACTAGAGACAGATATGATCTAGGTGTTTCTGATAGGAAACAGGTGACTTTGGTAAAGAACAGCAGACACTCATCAAGAAATTCAGACACTTCTCAACTTGCCTGGGCACTAGATCTTTGCCAAGCACGACTGCAGTCACAAACTCTTTTGAATACTCCATGGCATCCTCACTGGAAGAGAAACAGGACCAAGAAGCAAACAGTGTTTTGCTAGCAGCAAACTGCACTTTGTTCCCCATTTGCCACTGGTGTCAGAGAGGTTACCAAACAGTGAACCAGGGTCATACAAACCACAGCCCAAGTTGTTCCAGGCTTTTGGGACTTTCAGCCTGATAAAGAAAAGCCTGATATTCACATCCCATGCCCCAGGCAACATTACTCTGCATAGTGCTCTGAATATACTTGGAAAAGGAAGTGCTCCAACTCCATATCTCATGGTTGTTTTCCAATAGTCTGGGAATAGCCAGGTCAGCAGAAAGGAAGATATTGCATCCTCCTGAGACTATGTTATAAAGACACTGTAGAACTAAGATGGCCACTTTCTGCAGCAACCTGAGTAGCGAGATAAGAGGAAATTAAGGTTCTGCAATCAGCTGCCTTCCTAGAGACCTTCTGAACCAGTTACCAGAGGCAGAGGCTGACCTAGAGATGATCCTGGGCACGACACACAGTGCAACAAAAGTGTGGCAGTCAGAGGCACCTCCCTGAACTCTCAAACAGCTGAGGTAACAGTACAGCGTGACTTGAGCTATCAAGGGATCTCAGGAGTGGAAGCTCTGAGCAGAAAGCTATAAAATTCTCATGAAACATTCTACAGAACAACTTCTCTACAGCTGCAGAAGACCAGGGATTACGATCATAACAAGGCATGCCAGTATCCAGATTCATTAGCAGGATGGTTTAAAACCCTTGGCAGATGCTGGAACATGATGCAGTAACTATCACAAGAAGCTTCTGATAAGCCATAGCTGCTTTCAATTGCCCCCATGATGTCTGTCACCACTAGAAAGACCTCATCTCACTTCACTGAAATCTAGTAGGATGTTTTTGTTGGGCTGCCAGGTAAACACCACAACCAGCAGGTCTGGTCCAGTTTACAGTGGGAGGAATTCACTGTCCCTCTCTTCAGAGGTCTGAGGCAGCTACCCCAGATTCCCCCTATAGCCAAGAGAAACAGGCACCCAAGAAGCATAATCCCTCTGACCTATTTTAGGCACCTGCGTTAAAATGACAGAAATCACACTCCAGAAGTGCCAATTTCTTCCTCAGCTGCAAAAAGAGTCCAAACAACTAGACCAACTGATGCAGACATCTATGTTCAGTCAAATATCTCCCTTTTTGTACCTCTCTTCACAGCAGATAGGGAGAGGACAGACTGGCATTGTGCAGAGAATAAGGAAATTGCACCTCATCCACTCAGTTTGCATTTCCCACTAGTCGGAGTGAAATTAGAGCTACAGCCACAGACAACTAAGCCATAAACCAGAATATCTGGGACAGTGGCCACTTGCCATCATAAAGTAAACTCTAAAACTATAACAGAGCAAAAGCTGCCAACAACCCTCAGCTCCTACAGACTGCCTCTCATCTTTCTCATGCTTCTCAGGGCAGAGACTTGTCTTTTACCGCTCCTCAGAGCATCACCAACAGGATCCAGCTATAACTACAACCCCTCTTTCTCACCGCTCCTCCTGCCCCAGCACCTACCTCAGCAGCCCACCCGGGGGAGAATAGGCAAAGCACTTCAGCGATGGGTACTGTGGACGCAAGAGGAAGGACAGGATGGCAGCTGTGCCAGCCCCCAGGGAATGGCCAACCACAATCAGGCCGTAGTGTTTTGTTCCTCTTCCCTGAAAACAAAAACAAGCAAAACACAAAATTGAAGTCAGACTGAAAAGTAAGTCCACAAACCTCAAAAATCTGTCCCTTTCCCCAGCTATGAGTCTTTCTTGTACATGAGACTCCAGCTAACCAGCTCCTCTGCCCATGGGAACTGGGGAGAATATTTTAGATTTTGAAATGGAAGCAGAGTTCTGATTTACACTGTTTATTCTAAGTCACAGTGGCAGTCCCAGCACACTCCTGCCCTGTACTGATGCTTGTTCTGAAGGGATGCTAGAATTCATTCCCTTCTGGTATTTCTCTCCTACATCTCCATCAGTCAGTGTTTGACCAACTGTGTCTTCCCTAAAAGAAAAAAGGTAGGAAGAAAAAGGAGACATGCACAAGCTGTTTGAGTTATTTAGGATTTAACACAAGCCTTTTGCTCCTCCTCAAATCTGACAGCCTTCTGATAATATCTGAGGCCAGGCTCACACACCTGAGGTCTCCCCAGTTCTAGAAACGACTTGCTTTCATTAATTCCACCACTTCTGCAGGCTGAAAAACAGTAGCAGTTTGAATAGTAGTCCAAGACCAGATACTCTCAGCAGCTGGCCACCACCCAAGTAATTCAGAGACTAAACTGTTCTCTAATGTTTTGGACTGTTCTTGTTAGAGGCTAAAGTGCTAGGTGTGGCTTAGTACCTAGAAGTTCACTAAGACAATGTTTGAAAAGTTTCAGTTTTGTTTTGCCAAATGTCCTGTTGGCTTTACATAGAGAGAAAGAATCCAGCATCCAACTCTCCACAGTGGTGGCTACACTTGGACTTCTGTGCAAGATAAAAGCACACACAGAACAGAAGACCCGGCCACAAGAATAGAAGATCAATCCTTATGTCATCTTCCTTCTCAAAACCACCTCTAAGCCACCATCATGCTTGTTACAGTCAGTGAGGTGAAGGCTGGGGGACATTTAAGACTTTATGAACCTTATTTGTTACACTTTTCCCCTGAATTTCTGTTGCTGACAACTTGTCAGAAACAACATACTGGGCTAAACGAATCTTTGGTCAGACCTAGGATGGAATTTGTTCTGGCCACTGAATATTTCAGATATTCTTCAGAATTCAGCTTCAGACAGTAATTAATTTTCTACATGCAAGCCAGTTGCTCCATCTCACATTAAACAAGCTCTCTCCATCCTTGTGGGTCACGTCCAGCTAATTACACTGGTTTTCATCAATTAGAAGTTGGACCCACCATACATAAAGCCAACTTCAAACAGTCCAGGATATGATACTTATTATCACACACAGAGACAACCAATGTGTAGAGCTTCGAATGTCACCATATCCTTACAAGTCAGGTAGCAACTGAGCTCTATGGGACATCAGGAAAAATTCCTCATGAGTAAAAGCTCACTTAAGATCAATTTTCACTGTTTGGGCACAGAGGAAGAAAGCACCATATAAAGAAGTCCAATGTCTATGTCTCTCTCCCTACATCTGCCAACCATCACAAGGCAGACACTTCAGTGCTGACTGCTACAACACTCAAGTTTTGGGGAGGCTTTTATCCCTCTTTTCTCTCTCCCTTAAGCTATTGCTAATTCCCCCATAGGCACCGTTCAGGCCAAGGCACTCTGGGCACAAGAAGAGGACAGCTTGCTATCAGCAGGGATCAGACAGTTCAGAAGTTCCCTCCCCAACAGGGACAGACTGCTATTACTGACATAAAGTAAGGTACGCTGCTTCGTAACACCTCTCTTGGGTTCTCTGATAGCTCTATCACAAGGAACGTGCACACACAGTCAGCATGGCATCCCATTGCTGTCTCCAAACAGAATCTCCATAGAGATGGGATTTTAGTTCCTGTTGATTTGTTTTTAATGCTCCCTGTCCTGCATTGCCACCAAATGGGACTTCCTGCCTTAGCATTGCCGGGGGGGGGGGGGGGGGGGAAA